CGATTCTTCTGCCATCATCTGGGGCGTGGGAAGCAACAGCCTCCATCTGCCTGTGCCCTCCAGCTGCCCGGATGGCTTCAAAATCCTGCTTCGCCAATGCTGGTAAGGATGCCCCGGACTGGGAGGCAAAGGGGCAGAGGCAGGTGGGCGGTGTGGGTGACAGCCAACACCTTGGACCCAGGCACCCAGGCCCAGAATCCTGAGCAGGTGGAGGGAGCAGTCTCCCGTCTGGGCACACAAGCCCTCGGAATTCTAGACAGCACAGTGAGGAACATGTTTGCCTTGCATGCAGCAGGCTCCCAGGGAGCACCTCTGTGTGGCCCAACCCCCCCCCCAAAAAAAAAATACAAGTCATTGTATTTTCAGGCCAGTAATCTGAAGAGGGCCACCAGATCCAGACCTCTGAACAAAAATGAATCCTGAGTGAAAAAGGAAGGGAGGCTTAGAGAGATGGCTCAGGCACGTGCTTGGCATGAAGCAATCCCTGGCATCTCACGGTCTCCAGCCTGTGAACACTATTCAGAGACATCCCCCCACGCATACGCACACGCACACGCACTTGCTTGGAACCTCAAACCTGAAGGAAGGCCAGACACTCGTGGTCCCTGTCATAGAATCCACACATGCAAGACAAATGATCTACCACCCCGCGAAATGTTGGGGGCATCACTTTTCTGACACGTGTTGAGGCCCCGAGTTTCCTTTCCAAGCACCAAGACACAGAACACAAACACGCTCAATGAGGACTGAAAGGGACTTCTTGAGAGCAGGAGTTGATACCAAGTGATGAGTGTCATTTCGTGTGAGTGGCCGCAAGTGGGAGGCCTTGGTCTTGACCGAGATCACTCTTGGCAGCCCCCGAGGCCCACTGGGTACTGAATGAGGGTGGGCTGGCTGCACAATCTCCCCAGTCCCGTCCCAGATCTTAACTGTGTCTTCTCAGACGCCTGTTCTAGACTGGGGTTGTAGGACACAAGCTAGGGAGTCGGCACTCCCCGCTCACCCGACTCCGAAACTTCCTCCCCCAAACTCCACCCCTTCCAGGAATAGCAAACCACGAAACCGTCCGTCATTCCGGCAGATCCTGCTGCATCTGGACATTGCCTCGGCCGACGTGCTCTCCACACCCCAGGAGACCTATTTCAAGTCCCAGGTGGGTTGTGGGAAGGAAGAGAACACCCGTGGGCTCTCCGCAGAGATCACGACACCCTTTGCGGGGGAGGGAGGCGGTCGATTGGGCCCCGAGCAACTTGTCTTGGGCCTCGCCCTGACGCCCAGGGTACCAGGCTGCGCAGGGGACAGCACCCGAGTTGGCAGAACGCAGAGCACACGCTCCAGTCTGTCCGGAGCTCTTCTGCCCTGGGCCCCTTCCCCCCTCAGCGCCACGGCGTGCGGCCGTGTGGCCCCCGGTGCGCGTCTAACCAGCGCGGCCGATCTCCCCCACGCCCCCAGGCAGAGTGGCGGGAAGAGGTGAAGCTGCACTTCGAGAAAATCAAGTCCGAGGGCACCTGCCTGCACCGCCTCGAGGAGGAGCTGGTGATGAGGAGGAGGGAGGAGCTCAGGTCTGTCCCGGGAAGGGGCCGGGCTTCCCGGCTGGGATGGCGCCAGGGCGCTCCCTTCTGAGTCCGCCCGCTCGTTCCAGGCACGCCTTGGACATCAGGGAGCACTACGAGCGGAAGCTGGAGCGAGCCAACAGTCTGTACATGGAGCTCAACGCCCTCATGCTGCAGCTGGAGCTGAAGGAGCGGGAGCTGCTCAGGTAGGACGCTTGCCTGGGGCCTGGCCCCCGCCCTCGCTGACCGCGCAAGCCCACCTGGGGCTCTGTCCTTAGGAGGGAGCAAGCCTTGGAGCGGAGGTGCCCGGGCCTGTTGAAGCCACACCCTTCCCGCGGCCTGCTACACGGGAACACCATGGAGAAGCTCATCAAGAAGCGGAACGTCCCACAAAAGCTGTCGCCCCACAGTAAAAGGTTGGGCCAGTTCAAATTCCAGGACATCCGCTAGGGGCAGGGGCCAGAGGTACACCGAGGGGAGACGCGTGCATGGCAGGGCCCGGTCAGGCTCCGCTGCTGCCTCACCCCCTCAACCCTGTGCTTCCCCCCGCCAGGCCAGATATCCTCAAGACAGAGTCTCTGCTGCCGAAACTAGATGCCGCCCTGAGTGGGGTGGGGCTTCCTGGGTGTCCCAAGGGACCCCCATCCCCGGGACGGAGTCGCCGTGGCAAGACCCGCCACCGCAAGGCCAGCGCCAAGGGCAGCTGTGGGGACCTGCCTGGGCTTCGTGCCTCTGTGCCAGCCCATGAACCTGGGGGACCAGGAAGCCCAGGGGGGCTCGGAGGGGGACCGTCCGCCTGGGAGGCCTGCGCTCCCGCCCTGCGCGGGCTCCACCACGACCTCCTGCTGCGGAAGATGTCTTCTTCGTCCCCCGACCTGCTGTCGGCGGCCCTGGGAGCGCGGGGCCGGGGGGCCGCGGGAGCCGGGGACCCCGGCTCGCCACCCCCGGCCCGGGGCGACACCCCCCCGAGTGAGGGCTCAGCACCCGGTTCCACCAGCCCAGATTCACCTGGCGGAGCCAAAGGAGAGCCGCCTCCACCTGTCGGGCCCGGTGACGGTGTGGGGCTCCTAGGGACTGGAAGGGAAGGGCCGGCTGCAAGGGGAGGCCCGCGGGCTGGCTCCCAGCACTTGACCCCAGCTGCTCTCCTCTACAGGGCTGCGGTCACCAGGAGCCAGGTACCGTACAGCCCCGCACCCGCACCCGCACGCGCCTTCCCTTGTTCTCCGAGTCCAACTCGCCCCCCTCGGTCCCTGCTCGATCCTCTTCCCCTTCTGACCCGCTTCCCTCTCTCCCACAGAAACGCGGCATCTCCTCCGAGGAGGAGGAGGGGGAGGTGGACAGTGAAGTGGAGCTGACGCCAAGTCAGAGGTGGGACAGTCGCGAGGGGCGGGCCTTCTTCCGCTTACCGGGCCAGGAAGGGGTGGAAGCGAACCGGCTCGCTCTCCTCTCTCCGGCACAGGTGGCCTCAAGGCCTGAACATGCGCCAGTCACAGTCCACCTTCAGCTCCGAGAACCCCTCGGACGGAGAGGAAGGCACGGCCAGCGAGCCCTCCCCCAGCGGCACGCCCGAAGTCGGCAGCACCAACACCGACGAGCGGCCAGACGAGAAGTCCGACGACATGTATTCCCAGGGCTCAGAAATTCCATTAGACCCCTCTGCTTCCGAGGTGGCGCCGGGCCCTGGCCCCAGCTCCTCACCGCTCCCCAGTCAGGACCGACTCAGAGGGAAGCAGGTGAGTCTTCCAAACCAGCCCTCAGACAGGACAGTTCCTTGTCAGTTTGGAGCAGTAAAAGCAAGCCGGTGTCTGACCTCCGGGCTAGCGAGGATGCAGAGGGCGCCACCCGGGGCCTCTAGACAAACACTAATAACAGAATGAAGAGGAGATCGGGCGTGTCTGGGGAGGCGTGGCCGTGGGCAGCCTTCTAACTTCGGCAATCGGTCTGGAGGTGGGATGCCAAAACTAGGAGTTGGCGTCTGGCAGCTGCGATCTTAAGGCAGCGACGTTCTTAAGCACTTGTAGGCCCACCAAAAAGACCTCCAACTGACCCGCTGGTTTCTGTCCTTCTTCCCAGGGCCCCCCCAATTCTGAGGACTCAGACTGTGATAGCACTGAACTGGACAACAACAGCGGCGAAGCCTCGCAGCCCCCCGCCTCCCTCCCTCCTTGAAAGCCAATCTCATCCCTGTACATAGAGAAATATTTATATGGATGATATATATGCGCCACATAATCAGATAAGACGGGGCTGTCCCAGCGAGTCAGGCTCAAGACTGACCCCTGCAGAAGTCCCCCGGCGAACTCCAGGGACACTGACAGCTGTGAAAATGAGGGGCCCCTGCCCTCTTGCTGCGGGTCAGGGCCGACGGGCCCCTTCCTGTTTCTCCCACCACGTCCACCAACTAGGAAAGAGACTTGCCTCGAGTTCCTCTGTGCTCCCCCCCACCCCGCGCCCCCAAAGACCGGGGGAACAGGGAAGGGAGCCACTTAGACTGCACTTTTTTTGGTTTTCTGTTTACATATTTTGCACTTGGGAGGCTAAAGCTGGGCCCTCCCCTCTGAGGTTTCTCAGGTGGCAAACGTAACTCATTTCTTTGTACCTCCATTTCTCTGCCAAGTTCTGGCTTGGGGGCGGGGGGAGGCGAGGAGATTGTGAACGCATGTGTCTGGCTCAGGCTGAAGAACCGGGGTGCGAGTCCCTGCTTTCTAAGATCCTGGTGCCTGACTGGGGTGGGTCTTGTCATATTGTAACCCCTGTGAAAAAACCTTTGAAATATAACCACTCCATGCAGGCCCATCTTGAGGGTGTTCTTGTTGGCTGAATGCGTAGTGTGCAAGGGTAAGTGAGCGCCTGAGGCTGCAAGAGAAGGACTCGGGGTGCTATGCTTTTCCGATGAAATGAGGATCGCTTTGAGTATTTATCTGTCACGTTGTCTGCTATGCAGACTTCTAATAAATTGCGGTACAAAACATCTAAAAAAACAACTCTTACCATGGAGAGACTAACTTCAGAACTATTAAAAACGAGACTGAGCACTTAGCTAGAACAGTGGGGCACTCCCAGCAGCCTGAATCCCAAATATGCACCGAACTGATTCATGTGTGTGTGCACGTGCACCCCTGCCGCCCCCTGTGGAAATGCTTGCCGACCGCGCAGATGTTTCCTAGGAAAATCACGTTGGTAGACTCAGGAATCTGGACCAGAAGTACACGAGCTTGCCAGAGTCGTCAGCTCGCTGTAACGCAAGCTTCAATGCAAACAGGTTCGGGGGTTACAAAAAAGATGGAGCGGCAAAAAGCACGCGTCGTAACTGGAATAAAGGCTTCATTCGAAACCGGACAGGGTCCATGTCCTTGAGGGAAAAGGTGCAAAAACAACAGCAAGACAACAGGAATAAAACCCACATGAATCACTGTGGCATCCAGTTTCTATTCACAAAGAAAAAGCTCCAGTCCATCTTTTAATTTTTTTTGAAAAATTCCTGACATTACAGAACTAAACTGAAATGTATTAATATTCCACTCTTACATTTCCATGACAAACAAAAAAAAATTCATGAGCCAAAAAAAGGGGGGGAGAAGCTTATAAAACTAAATATGGATTTCAGCATTAACCGCTGAACAGAGAAAGGAATTAAAACGCTTTAATTAAAAAATCACGAGTGGATGATAAAGTGTGTAGAAACTGAAAATTCACAAACTATTGAAACCTGGAATCGCTGACTGTTCAGAAACTACACAGATGGATCATGGGTGGTGGTGAACAGCAGAAGGGATTATGGATGAATCTGCATTGTTCTAGCTGCTCCCCATGCCACCCGTCTCCGAGGAAAGCCTGCAACACACATACACAAGAGAAAAGTTAGTTCGCGGAGAGCCCGGCTCCACCTCACCTCCAACCTTCCGCCCAAATGGTGGGATGCGCAGACACGATCCGACACCAAGACATTTGAAATGCCCGTGTGTGACCAAGCACCACTGTGACCCCTGCGACCCTGGTGCCCAAGACAAACTCTCTGAACATTAAGGGACATACGCGTCGGCCCGAACCAGCAGGTACTAGCAATGACTGCTTGTGGGTCTGAGGGAGACGGCCACACTTTCTCAAGAGCATTCACACGCAAAATCGCCTTGAGAGTTTCACAATTCGCGGAAGTAGTGTTTCTTTTTGACTTATCTAATGAACTTCTCAACCAGTGAAGACTGCTGTCCTCAAACCGCACCTCCGGAAAGGCTAAAGACTTTGCAAAGGAACAGCAAGGACCTATCTCAAGAATAAACTCAACCCGGGGGCAGAGAAATGTCCCAGTGGCTAGTGTGTCCCATCCAGGTTCCATCCCCAGCAGCCCACATATTGTCCCCTAAGCCATGCCTGGAGCGACCCCTGAGCACAGAGCCCTTGGGAGGTCCTCCCCCGACCCCCAAATAAAACTCCCCCTGGGCTGGAGAGTAACAGTGTGCTAGGGTGCTTCTCTTGTACACACCCAAACCAGGTTCAATCCCCAGCATCCCCTAGGGTTAACCCCTGAGCATTGTCAGGTGTGCCACCTCCCCCCCCCCAAAGAAAGTGGAAGCCAAAATAAATCGTTCAAGAACTCCCTATACATGGAGCTGGAATCAGCATAAAATCCTGGACTTGGCATCAAAACCTGCTGTAAGGACAGAATTTTGTAGGCCTCAAAATAGGATGGCCTCAGGCAATGTAAAGCATATAAGCTAAAATTAAAAAACACAAGAAGAGGAGCCAGAGCAACAGTCAGTCGACAGGGAGCTGACACAGGCTAATCCCTGGCACCCCCTAGTTTACCCCCAACTCCCGCCCAAAGTGGTCTCTGAGCACAGAGCACTACGGATGCGGCCCAAAATACAAAGAGGGGCTAGAGTCAGGTGAACCGGACAAGTCCAATGTGCCCAGTGTGAGCCGCTGGCCTTGCACACAGCTGACTCCCAGCGCCCCGTCTGGTTCCCTCATGCCGCCACTAGAGATCCTAAGCACGCTGCCTGGAAGCAGCCCTGGTCCTCTCTAGGGGTGCCCCCACCCACTGAAGAAAAGCAACAACGAAACAAGAACATAAGAAGTCTGAACGCTGGGCACCAGGAGAGCAGTCTAGAACTTGTGTAAGAGCATGACCAGTGGGCAGGACACTCGCCCTGCACACAGCCGACCTGTAGAGCTCCCCAGGTCTGCTGAGGAGCGATCCCTGAGGAGAGCCTGGAGTCGATCAACTCCAGGGACGTGACGGCTGGTAGGGCATTCCCCGGAGCACTGCCAGGTGCTTTCCCCCCCCACACACACACACACACAAAGAGCCTGCCCACATCTGACCACATTGGAGAAGGGGTCTGTGTGTAGAGACAGGGTACAAGAGAAAAGGAACCCAACCAGATGTCACTGTTAAAAATCCTCGGGCAGCAAGACCACATGGGGGTGCTACAAGCTTGAGGATCCCTAGAAGGCAGGTGATTGTCAGGGGATAAGGCACTCTCAGGCAGCAAACCCTGGTTAGATTTTTAGTATTGTATATGCCCCCCCCCCCCCCCGAACCGACTGGAGTGATCCTTCGGCACAGCCAGGTAAGACCCAGCCCGCCCCTGAAACATCAGAACTACAAAGCTCGCAGAGCTAGCAGGTGCCAGCCACACTGGAGTCTGACCCTGTTCGATCCCTGACACTCCAATGGTTCCCCCCATCCTGCCCGGCACCACCAGGTATGGTCCAATAGCCCATTCCCAAATTACACCAGGAGCTGCTTAAAATCCTCGAACACAGGCTTGGCATGTGGGAGACCCAGGATAGACATCCAACACATGAAGCTCCAATTTTTTTGCACAAAAAAGGGTCCAGGGAGGTGCCTCAGTGGTGGCAAAGTGCATGCAGGAAATATAGGCTTGATCCTTATACCACAAAAAAAGCTTTTTGAGGTGGGAGTGATAGCCGGCCCCTTAACCATCTGAACCCATTCCCAGCTGGAACTCTTCGAACCACCAGGTTAAGAGAGTTCACCAAGAACAATGAATTAGACCAAGATTCTTTTTTTTTTTTTTGGCTTTTGTAGAGGGTTAGAATGAGTAGTGTTAATAAAACAAAACAAAAAAAAATCACTTTTCTTGAGAATGTAGTGCTTATCCCTCTGGACAAAGTTAGGCAGATGAGCAACACTAATTTATGAATGAGTAACACCAATTTATACACCCAATTTGGCACCGAGAGGACTTATCACCTAAGATAATGTATTGCAATATGCATGGGCAATAAACATAAGAAAGTTTTAAAAAGAAAAACTCTCGACACTTGCTCTCAAATATCCTGGAAAAAGCTTCTTTTCTTTTTCTTTTTTTTTTTTTTTGCTTTTTTGGGTCACACCCGGCGATGCTCAGGGGTTCCTCCTGGCTCATGCACTCAGGAATCACTCCGGGCGGTGCTCAGGGGACCCTATGGGATGCTGGGAATCGAACTCGGTCGGCCATGTTGGCTGCGTGCAAGGCAAACGCCCCACCCGCTGCGCTACCGCTCCAGCCCCGACAAAGCTTATTTTCATCCCCTGGCAATAGGGGATTCAGGTTAAAGAGGCGACCTACTCCTATACCTACAGCATTTTAACTCTTTTTGGGACCATATGGGATGCTGGGACTCGAACCCGGGTTGGCCACGTGCCAAGGCAAACGCCCTACCCTCTGTGCTATTTCTCCCGCCCCAAGCATTTCAACTCTTCTAAGAAAAATTGTGGCCTTGGGATTAGAAAAGATTTCGGAAGATGGCACTAGTCTAACTGTAAAGCACAGTTTTTAGTGCTCACTAGTCTCTCAGGCGGTCGTGAATTCAAAGACTTGTCAAAAAAATCTGGACAGGCGAGCTCCAGTCGATCCTGAAGGTTCCTTCCAGACCAATATATACTTTCCGAATCTGTGACGAGGGTCCATGAACAGAGAAAACGCTGGGCGGGAATTCAAGTCATGGGACCCGTTCAGCAGCGCTGGTTCAGGGCGAGTGGCTGATTACGTGAATCTCTGTGTGTTGAGCTTTTTGGGTCACAATGCTCAGAGGTCACTCCTGGCAGTGCCTCGAGGGGCCATATGGGAGCAGGGGATCGAAACCCGGTCAGCCAAGCACAAGGCCAACCCCCTACCCACTGTCCTATGGCTCTGGCCCCAGTTCGGTGAAATTTTGGCCCATGTCACAGGCCGGCTGTCCAAAATCGACCCCTTGTCACAGGAAGAGGAGTGACTCCTCTGAGAGGAATGCAAAAGCTGCGCTATCTTCTTAGGCCCCGACCCACTCTAGGTCACTCAAACAAAGTCTGATGTAGACGCCTTTATTACTGCGGTTGTTGGCAGACAGACATCTGAGACAGAGAAACTGTCTTCCACACTCACGAAGCTTCTTGCCAATCATCTGATAATCCCTCTGGCTTTATTTGCCATAATGGGGCCATGCCCAGCAATGTTCAGGGCATACTCCTGGCTCCTGTGCGTACGGACCCTCCGAGTGCTCAGGGGTCCATGTGCAGTGCCAGGGCTGGAACCTAGTTGGTGATTTGCAAGACCAACACCCTACCTGCTGGACTCTTTCTCCAGGATTTCATCTCCACTTGCGGGGAACCATTGATAACTACATCAAGTTAACCCAGGGATAGATACCTCAAGTCCCCAAGCAGCCGCAGACACTTCCTATTGGGGCCACAGGTCACAAGCTCCCACCCTCTTTCCCTCCAGAGCACACAGTCAACTAAGGTTCTCACTGTGGCAACTTTATTACAGCTATAAACACAGATCTGGCCAAGAAGGCCTGCTGATAACCAGTAAATCACTTTTAAAAAAAGTTAACGGAGAAACTTTTATTGGATAACACAGAGCCTAACACATTGTCATATTGCAAGGCAGAATCAAGCTACAAAAAGGTAACAGAACGGGAGCGCGCAAGAACTACGGCTCTAAGATAAAGGGTTCGACAACTCAGACTCTGAACAGGCACTCGGCTGAAATGACCTCTACCTAACACGGTTACCAATGACCCGGCCCCCACCCTCTTACGCCCGCCCCCCGCCACACCGCAGTCAAAAGGAAACGTCACAAGCTCACAATTGTTGGTGCTCACCAATGTTAACAAAGGAACCAAAAGAAACCAAGAACTCCTCGAGGGGCGCCTCAGACCCGCACTCAGTAGGGGGAGAATCTCTGTTTCTCGCCTTTCAGTTTGTTAGTGACACATGGCACAGCGGAGGCGCTGGTGGTGGCAGCTGAAGCCCCGGCACCCTTAGCGGCAGACACAACATTTAGAGCCAGGAGAGGGATGGGTTTCATGCCAAGCAGACTGGAGACACAAGGGGCGGTCGGAAGAGGGTTGGGGAGGCTGGAGGGTGCGTCGGAAGTCCCCGCTGTGGCGAGCGAGGGGGTGGTGGTGGAGGAGGAAGAAGAAGAAGAAGGGGTGGAGGGTTGAGAGAGGTTGATGCTGAGGTGGTCAGGGATCGTGACGGAGGCTGCCTGGGAGGAGGGTTTAGCGTTTTCTAAACTGTAACAGAGGAAAAAAGGAACAAAAAAAAGGGTGGGTGGAAGGGAAGACCACAAAAGGGACAAAGTACAGGACAAAAACCGACTCAGTTCAATCAGTGACTCTAGTCGCCAATTAGGAAGGCCTGATACATACCAACTGGTGACAAGATGCCCATCTGTTCCCACCCTCTACAAGCTTGTACTGACCAACTCCACTATTCGAAACTGCTCCAGGCAAGGAAAAGCTACAGCCTGAAAGCACCAACTTCCAGGAATCCGACACACTGATCCAACGGAAGCCAGGAACTCAGTGGGTCCGAGCACACGCGTCACATTCAAGAGGCCCAGGCTGGCACCACATGCCCCCGCCAAGTCCTGCGCAGAGGAATACTCAAGGTGGCCCAACACCAAATAAACAAAAAACGGAAATTAGAGGCTACCACTTCTCAATCTCCAAGCGAGGAAAAATATCGTTGACCATTTCGAAGAAAAAAATCCAAGTTGCTAATGGAAACAAACAGAGCAAACCCACAGTTTGCCTCCAGCTTTGTAACAAACTAACCAGTATCAGAATGCAGAGACCAAAGAGAGCCTAAATATGTCAGCACCTTCAAAGAATCTGGCATTTTCAAACAAAAATGTAGATAAGAAACAAGGAAGCTCACTTCTTCTGTGGGGAGGGGAGATGGTGACAGTAAAAAGCCCTGACTTTTTTTTGTGTGACCACACCGCTCACATAAAAGTCTTAGAGAAATGGAGGAGAAACTCGAATACTGACAAAAATACGTTAGGTACCACTTCAATGATCTAAATACAGGATTACCTGCAATTCCTAAAGACTCAGACTCAAAATGCTCACAGATCTTTTTGGCCTATGATCCCTAGTAACAAAACCAGTTTGCTTTTCCTCGAAGTTAATCAGGGCAAGATGAGGAAGTGAAGAAATCTCTTAGTCTTGCACGGTTCCTCGCTTTGATGTTAAAACCTTTTAAACAGTTCGGAATAAATCCACGTCTTAAAGTAGCTCCATCGGATGCTTCCACCAAACTTCCAGTCTTTCAATAAGGATGATCGTTCAAGAGCAACTCAAGAAAAGAAACGAAGGTGAAGTCCTGCTTCCTTATAACCGAGTAACGAAGACTGACCTAAGTAAGGGGCTAGCAAGCAGGTTGAATGGTCAAACACTGCCAGACAACATTCAGGACAAGCCCGTTCAGGCAAAAAAAAAAAAAAAAAAAAAGAAAGAAAGAAAAAGAAAAATCTCCAGCTTCTTAATGGTTCATGCCCCCGTTCCAAATAATAAATGGCCGACCTTTCTTTATGCAGAGGTCAAAACCATTTCACCCCAAACATTAAGAAATGCGCTCAGCTGGGGCTACGTGCACTTGATCACTAGCAGTTAGAGAACCAAGAACCCAAAGTGCTACTTAGTAGCACAAGCAAGTACATCTGGACAGACCGTCCCACACAGGAAGCTCACCCCAAGACGTGACCCTACTTCTGACCAAACTTCAAACCAACACTGGGTAACGGAGCTCTAGGGGCAACAACGACCACAGCAAAGTCAGGAGAAGCACAACAGACCTCCTTTCCTTCACACCAGACTCGAGAACTCAAAAAGCACAACTGGAGAAGCTGAGCCAAGACTACAGAACAGGAAAGCCAGGCCCTCGGAAAATGCTGCATCAAGCACGTAACTTAAGCACACGTTGTGAAAGAAGGTTCGACTCCCAGAAAGTCACTCAAGACAGGATAGCGGGGAGTGGGGAAACAAAATACGAGGCCCCTTTCCAAACTCTGTCCCTCGGCTTTCACACACAAGCCCTCTCTGAACACACTGAGAAAAATTCAAGAAAAATAGATGTTTTCACAATAACTGGAAATGGCTACCACTCCCCTCAAAAGATCCTTTGCTGTCACATCATGTCCTTATTTTACTTTCACTAAGAGGCTATGTCACATCAACCCCCAACAGTCCAAGAAGTATCAGTCCACATCAGATGAATACTAAGTATCCTTAGTTTCTAAGCATGCAGAGCACTGCACTGGACTCACGGAAACCTACCCCCAACTCCTCCCCTCCCCTCCACGCCACAATTTGCCAAGCAACTAGGTTCCATCTTCCAGTCCCCATGCAAAACTTTATACTCCGCTTACCGTTTCTGCTACACTAGAAAGGCTACTGCGTTTTATAAAAATACTCTGCCACTTCCACCCATCCTACTTCCCATCCCCCAGACTCAGCCCCCGTTTAACAACTCATTGTAGTTTCCCCCAACACACACTACTTGTGTTGGCACCAGTAAGGCAAGAAATAGGTACCTTACCTGACATTGATAAGATATTGAGCCAGGCTAATGCTGGCAGCAGATCCAGTGATGGTAACCTGCCTATCAGTAGATCCTTCCACTGGGTTCGCAATTTTGATCTGCGCCCCAGACATCTGACGGATCTCATTGATTTTGGCGCCTTGACGCCCGATTATGCAGCCAATCAACTTAAGGGGGGGAAAAGAAAAACAAGTAAGGCACACGGTATCAAGAGCTGCATGGCTTATTCAAAGAAACCCACCCCCCTCTTCCAATCAGCTACAGCGTAAGCAGACAAGCTATACATGCACATCGATTATATACGATTCTAAGACACTTGTGGATAACAGACTGCATATTGATTCTTCATTTTTGTTTTCGGGTCACACTCAGTGGTGCTCTTCAAGGCTTACTCCTGGCTGTGCACATGGGTCATGCCTACCGGGACTGAGGGGATCCTACGCGGTGCCATGAATTGAACCAGGGTTGGCCACATGCTAGGCAAACACGTGACCCACGTTAGGACCTCCGGCCCTTGCATTTCAACTTTTGCTCCATTTTTTCGGATCACTTCAGAACCAACTCGGCTGAATCCTAGATCCTCAGCTCATCTGCCAGAGTATTTAACTCCAATGGAATGCAGAGCCAAGATGACAAAAATCTGGTCACCATCAGGACGAAAAGATAAGGGTATCTCAGTTTTTCACACTGAAGATGTACATGTGAACCCTTCCCAGAATTTTACTGACAAAAATTTTCGCCAATTTACAAAGCTTGACCATGGCAAGCAAAAGTAAATAAATAAATCCATGTTTGCGATTCATAGTATGAGACCCTAATAACAACTAATAAAGGTTATCAGTGACCTCAGAATTCCGATTAGGGTCAGAATTGCCAGGAGATGAGACAGGAGGGGCAGCCTCTGAGCTCCGTCGGGCACAGCATACAGGACGCGGTCGAGAGGGGGCGGGGAGAGCACAATGGGGTGGCGCCCACGCTCCTATGCATGACTGCGGTCGGTCCCCCCCACCCCCAACACCAAGTCACTCCTTAGCGCTGCAGGGGGTGGCACCAAAACAACATACTGAGTAACATTCTCAAAGAATCTAGGTGACTAGCAAGCAACTTTCGAACACAAACAGTAACATCCAAGGGTCACTACACTTCATGAGCAGGGCTTCAGAAGGCAAAAGGGAATCTGTTGAATTTTTTTCCAGAAGGGGAGGATGGGGCCCACACCCTGCGGAGTTCGAGCTACTACTACTCCTGGCTCTGGGCAGCGAGCCACATGCAGTGCAGGCTCAAACCTGGACAGACCGGCCACCAGTTAGGCAAGCAAGCGTCTTATCTCCCAGTACTCTCGGAAGTCCCCAAAGAGGAATTTATTGAGACAAATGTAGCCAGTCTCATGATAAAAATAACCCGGAAGGCATGATGCTATCAATTTCCTCATCACTACTCAGGATCAAGAAAAGTCCATTTATTTTAATTTGGAGGCCGGGGAGATATTCAGAAGCATACCTTGCACAGGCCTTCCTCTAGTTTGGCAGATGTCCAGATTTGGCACCAAATATGGACCCCGATCATGCACAGCTGTGGCCCTAACAGCCCCCCCCACTCCAAGTTGGCATCCTAAAGTCTAGACTGAGATGTCAAGGAACTTCGACTTTCAATCTTACGTGATCGAAGATGACCATACTTACGTCGTTTGGAATGGTGAGTTCATGAGAAGTAGTCTGAGCAGATGCATCCAAACCTGCTAAAAGACAGAAGAGAACAAGAGAGTTCAATGCTTGGCACACACGTCCCCAGTGACTGCACATTAACCTAACAGAAGAAAACCAACTGGAAACCCAGCATTGGCTGTTGGGATTCACCACTAACTTGACAGCCTCCAAGGAGGAAAGAGGGGATGAGGGACGCAGAGATAGTGCTGGAAAGGTTCTTCTGTACACCCAGAAGAGCTGATTTCCTGCCATTTCCTGTAAAGCCCAGCCTATGAGAGTGTAAGGGATGGAGGCGAGGGGCAAAGGAATGTCGAGCCCTAAAAAAAGGACCAGAATCTAATCAGAGATTCGGAGTTCACTACTTCTCTGCTTTGCACTGCCTACTGTGGTGCTTCGACTCGACCGCACGTCTGACGCTCATAGCGCCAGAGCCAGTATCATGCCTACTGCCTCTCATCAGGTACCATGGACTTTCGGCACATACACAGAGCAGCTCGAGATACACCCTGTATCGGCTTAACACGTCCTCTCCCAATCCTGTCCTGAACTCGAAGGTGAGAGACAATGAAATGGTAGTCAAGTGACAGAGCGTCATTTCTCCAGATTTGTTCCCTGTCTTTTACTCAGTGAATTGTCCTGGTTTTTATTTTGCTTTCCAAAGAAAAAGAAAAAAAATCTGATCAGGAAACACCCACACCCATCTAGGATGATGATACCTGGACTGGACCCAGGCCAGCTAACTCAAAGGCTAATCCTGCTCTCAGCTGTGGCTGCTAACTTTTAACGTCTTTACAAGAGGGTTGGCCAGATCCATCAAGGGACCCTCAGGGGCGTCAGGCCCACCCCTGTGCTCTCTCAGCTCCTTTCTGCCATGTGCATGTTGCTGGTATGGTTCATGGGCAGTGAAACAAGACTCCCACCAGTTTATTAATATAACAGTAGAATACTACAGATTTTTTTTTTTAATCATTACCCCAATAGCCTTTCACCTCTGGAGAGCTGGATTCAATGCCTGTTAAGATACAAGTGAAAATGAGTTTGGTGGTCTCATCCTAACCCTACCGGACAAGTTATTCCTTATACAGAAAAAAAAAAAAAAGCCCAAAAAAAAACAAAAAAACAAACAAACCAAAAAAAAAAAAAAAAACCAAAACCAAACCAAAAAACACTACACAATTCGGCACAAATGGATTCTCTACCCAGGTCTGTGATTAGGTGGAGAGAAATGGGGTGCCAATCAGATCAAAGGGGCAGCAGTGAGGATGGGTTCGAAGAATATCAGCCTACCCTTTGCCTGACAAGCATCCCCAGACCTCACCCCAAACCTTCCAGGGCAACTTTTTTCCTTTTTTTTTTTTTAGCAACTCACCCCAAATGAAAAAAATCACGTTAACAAACACATTACCTCCTTCCGTTTAGCCACAGAAGACAGTCAAGTATTAACCAGCGGGATGCTGGGTATCAAAGCTTTGTTTTAAACAGATGTCAAATTGAGACCTTGGGGCTGGTCTCTGTCTTGTACTACACCTTAAGAAAAATAAACACGGAGGCATTCATACCACTGAATCCGGTGTTGCCATGCGTCATAGGAAAATGAGACTGTTGCATTGCCAACTGGTGCAGCTTGGTCAACTGCAGGGAGGAAACAGAGGCTGCCATCAGCAAGGAGCCAGATCAAGCACATTCACATCTGAAAATCCGCAAAATCGACTACACTACGAAAGGGTCAGGCTGGGGTTTACGTCCCAGTTCTGGTGATGGGAAGAACAGAAAGATAAGGGTTAGAAAGATAAAGGGGATCAACCCAGGAGAATGAATGTACTTTGTGTGAGAAGCAACAACAGCACCCCAACCAGCCCCTTGGGAGCTGCTTAATGAAGGAGATTGCAGCCAGCGCAACAGTTGCCCCGGGGAAAAGCAGACAGCCTAAGTAAACGAACTGCAGTGGTGCTAGGAAACATACACCATGCAGGACTCTGTCAATACTGGGAGGAGGGAAGGAGGCAGGGGGCAGGGAGACTGCAAGGAGATCGAGACCACCGAACCGAGCTTGGCCCCGCCCACCCCTCCCCATTTCTACAATGTTCTTCCTCTAGATCGGCTACCCTGGCTGTCAAGTCATTCCTCTTCCCGTCTACTGCCCGCCTGGGGCCTAGCACTAACCAAGAGCCCATCTCAACTTCCAAGTCTGATGACCAGCACCTGAAAAGATTAGGAAGGCATGGCATTGTGCAGATGTCCTTTTCGAATGGGAGGTGTGCGCATCATCGAGGTATTCAGCCTAAACCCCAAACATGTCGCTTATTTCCCCCCTGTTCAGAACTCAATTCCCCATCCTTCCACAGGGGTAGGGAAGCACAGGAAGGTTCAGGCCACACCTGACAGTACTCAGGAGCTACCCCCTACTATGCCACCAGGGAACCATGCAGTACCAGGTATCAACCCTGGGCCCCCCCAGGTGTTCACAGCTCTCTGCACGGTCTCCCCAGCTCCTCTAGGTAGTTTTAATTTGGGGTGGGGGAAGCAGAGCGTATGGTGCTGGAGCTAATCCCAGTTCTGTGCTCAAGAGAGCGCCAGGGGTTACTCGGAGACCAAATAAATCGAACCCCGGGCCTCCTGCGTGCAACGCGTGCATTCAGCCCATCTCCCCAGACCTCCAGCCTTTTAAACTGTCGCCTCAGATTGAGGCGGACGCAAGGACAAACCCAAGCTCCAACTCCCAACACAAGAAGGACTCCATACAGAAGCAGACTTCACTGCCAATTTTAACCATGCCCGGGGATAACAAATCATCAGTATACAGTAAAACGTTTTTCTTTTCAAAAGGAAAGTTAATTTGAAACGAGTGAAAGCAGAGTTTATGAGATTCTAAGGATCACACGTAAACGAGGTACTACTACACCCTGATTAAGTCATCAAAATATGGGGTTCACCTTTTGAGGGAAGTAACTTAACATAAATGTTTAAGACCCAATTCACTTCTGCCTACATGAGAGAAAGGAGAGAAAATTTTAGACGAGAGGGAGCTTTTTAAAACAAGTGAAAACAAAACTTACATCTGGCTGTGGAATGGCATACTGTCCTTGAATGGTATAGGCCTACAAAAGGAGGAAAACAATTCCTATTAAAAACCAATCGCGGACAGCCACCCAGTGGGGGGGAAAAAGACAGATTTCAACTAGCCAGGAAGCCAGAATCGAACTAGAGAATAGGGGGAGGCCAGAGATTGAGGCAGCAGATGCAGTTCACAAACATAGCCAGACCGGAGTTGGCCTTCTTTGGACTGTAACTACGATGACTTATTCTGGGAAGCCTATGAAAGGAATCATAATCCCTGCAATCCAAGACAAACTATCATCTGTGTCTCAATGGAAATGTGGGCTCTGGGATTAAGCAATGCCTCGATTTTCCAAGCCCCCCCTTCCTTCTCCCTGCACACACCAGAGTCTAGGAGTACGACGGCCTGCTCCAGCAACCAGCCCAACCCTTACACCATCTTAGATGCAAATGGTCTGGATCTGCAACAAACCTAGGCCGCGTTTTCTGCATCAGTTCCCTCTCCCCTATCGTCTCCCTCTGCATCTGGTTTAAGTTCCTTAACTGGAAGCAAGCTGGGTCCCTAGCTCTAGGCGATGACCACAGGTCCACACGCACACGTCCACACACACACACACACTCAGCCTTCCAAGCCCTGACTTCTCCTCCCACCCCCTCCATCACAAAAGGCACTTGCAGCTCCCCCTACACCCCCCTCCCCCACACCACAACCTCCCAAAACGGGAGCTGGGATCTTCAGGGCAGTGGGGGTAAGGGACGAGGAGGAACGGGAGGGCGGGGAGGGGAGTAGTGGCTGCGTAACAGGACGGAAAGCTTCTCGCGTCGCAGTGGCCACTGTTCCCAAAAGTGCACCCAGGTGGAGGCGGGGAGGTGAAAACGGGGAGGAGCGGGAGACGGGGAAGAGGGGTCAACAAAAAAGAAAAAAAAAAGAAAAAAAGAAAAAAAAAAGTTGGTGTTACCATCTGGTGGGCTACGCGGCCTGCGTGAAAGGAGGTGGGGGGTCAGTCCGGGTCCCGTGGACAGGTGGCGTCCACAGCACAAAAATCACGAGCGCCACCGGCCCCCGCGTGTTGGCAGTCTCGGCTGAGGCGGAAGGATTGAGTGAGCCTTGGAGACTGAACATCCCCTCTCACCTCTAGAGGTGGTCCCTCCAGGTCAGGGTTGAGGCACATGGACGGGGTGGTGTGGGGAAAGCTCGCACTGTCGCTGCCTGTGCTGTACCTGTCCTGTGGATAAATAGAGGATTTCAGTCTCCAGGGCTGTCAATCCGGCACCTTGTCACCAGCATGAAACTCACACAAAAAAGTCGTTTAATTGTTCCTTTTCCTTGAAAAAGGAGCTCACAACACAATTGGAAACGAGCTGCAATCAGTGAATTAAAAAGGAAAAAAGTTACCTACGGGCGACTTGACACTGTGCATCTGGGCTACTTTCAGTGAGCACGAAGGGGTAGGGACAGAGCTGATGCCAGCCACTGGTCAGTGCGATCAAAACGAACCTCGCAAGGAAACAAGAGCCACAGGTCCATCGAGGGACGTCGCATGATCACGTCCACTTAAAAAAGGCCCGGTGAGCATAGGCCGTCCTTGACAGGGCCACTCATGAGAAGCTGCAAGCTTTTCGAGGGTGGTCAACCAAACAAAGGGGGGGGGGGGAGGGAAGCGAAGAGGTAAGAAAGGGAAACCGGGAAGGGAAGGGAAGGGAAGGGAAGGGAAGGACAGGGGAATGAAAGACCAGCTCTAAGAGGACCCCTGCGACACAGCAGCACGGGTCACTTTACAACCCCGAACAGAAGTGGAGGACAAGGAGCAGGAACCTGGAGTTTCTAGGGAAAAGGGAAAACTAAGGCTAGCCCCTCTATGTATCCTGACTCTAGACTTTTGCTCAACCTGCCTCGAAGTCCCTCCACCAAACTAGTGTAAAACTAGTTAATGCTAAAAGCAAGGTCGTAACACTGCAGATGTCTGATTGATGAAAACTCCCTCTACGTCACAAACCTAGACCCAAACTTGCTCAGTTGCACGCTAACTCCACAGAATGTGAATGGGACGGATTCCAAGTTCACGTTTCCAAAGAAGACGCCACTAGCTGAGAAAAATGCTCAGAGCAGGTCATCCCCTCGTGGGAAAAGGTATTCTGAGGTATGTGCTCGGCTTAGACGGCTACTAAATCACTACTTTAACCTGAACACCAAATATTTCTTAAAAACTGACCTATTTCTCAAGTGCTAACCAACAAAACGTAGACTACTCATGGATGCTCAATAGTGCCCACCACAAAACCCTGACTTCAAATAAACCATAGGCCAAGAACCAGAAGTTGGGGGGGAAAGAGGACGAGGGGCCAAGGAGGCACTTCTGTGTCCTGACTCTGTTTCCAAAGCTCACAAGCACCACCGCCCAGGAAGCTCTCCCCACTTCTAGCCTTCTTACACACTGCACCCTTACCAATCTGGTTTCAGTTATGCCAGGTGAGTTCGAACCAGTGTTCATGAGGTTGAGAGTGGGGGGTGAGGGTGGGAGTCACACACTGGAGTCAGGGGGCGAGGGGGTAGGAGTAGGGGAGGTGAGGTGAAGGGAAGGGGAAGTTTGTAGGACACTCAAGTTCAGGAACTCCCACTTTTGAGACCACCATCCAAGAATATCGTTCAGAGAGCCAACTCCGCTACCTCTGAAGAAAATCCCACATACAAAAAAGCACGGATGGGGCGGGACGGGGAGTAGTTGCAAGGCAATTTGAATCTTCTAGCCCAACCCACCTGGAATCCCCTCTTCAGAGTGCCTACAAAACTTCCATGCCTGCTAAAAAATAATGGTTGGCATTCATAGCTTTCTCCGGTACCGAAAAAGAAAAAGAGAAAAAACAAAAAACACCCAAAAAAACAAAAACAAAACAAAAAACCTGGAAGCAGGTCAAACTATGACCAGAGTACAGAATTTCAGCAAGCATGCAGAGTGGCCTGGTGTACTGCTGGCAAAGTTGACATTTCAAACATGACTCTCGCTTAGTCTAGCCCACCAATAAGAGTTTCTTACCTGACCACCTGCAAAGATGACCGGAGAACTGGATGGCTTGGGCCGGTACGGGATGGTCACGCCCTTCGGAGGGGACTGGGAGAGAGTCAGAGGGGAAAAAAACAAAAAGAGATAAGGTTTCAAAGCTGCTTCAGCTGTGTGGCTTAAGCTCACACAGGTCAGTTAAATAAAAAACACTCCCACCCCCTCACCTACCTTATCTCTATCTCATTATCTCACAGATCTGATCTCAAACCATCTACAGTTACTGCCTTGAAAGCAGTTAAGGCGTCTGTGCATAGGCACTCTTTCTCGGTTTGTTTGTTTTGGTTTTGGGATACACCCAAGGGCGCTCAGAGACGCAGAGGATCCAGGCCCAAGCAGCTGCATCTAAGGCAAACGCCGACCTGCTGTCCTACTGCTTTAGCTCCAGTTCAGATTCCCTTGTAATAAGGTGGGCTGTTATCGCCACGTTTTCAAGTAGCTCCTCGCAAGCATGAAAACCCTCTTTGTGTGTGTACGTACACACTCGTTCATCTTACACTCTGGCCGAAATACGGACAGGGCCAATGAAAGCAACCTAAATGATGCCCAGGATTAACCATATCCATAAATAGTTCCGAAGCACAAGCATTATTTTTCCAACTCTATCTGAAAATTTTACTTTCTTTCTCAACATAAAAGGCACGCAGCTCCCATTGGGGCCAATTCCGTAACAATTCTACAAAAGGCTTCTCTTAAATTTTGCTTTCAATAAAGAACATAGGCCAGGATCTCAAGTTATTTCAGAAACACCAGAATGGATACATACACAATTCTGCCTCCTAACCATCTTTCTAAAAATCAGTTGCGTTGCAGAGAGTGAAATAATCCAAAAGGCAATTTAACCTAGATCCCAAAAAGCAACTGTGGTCCAGTCTATTTAGTAAATCTCAACTGACACAGGCTCCCCTAGAATACTGTGATTCTCCTGGAATACTACAGGTTAGAAAATCAATGCTTAATCGTTTCTATTTTTGCTCAGACAGTAAGTCAAGGCGGGGAAACTATCAACTCGGCGAACATCTTCCCCACCCCCTCACCACGGGAGACTTTTAACAGCTTCACCTAATTCTAGCCTTCCTAAATATAGATCGTCTGTCTCCCTAGAGCCACCCTTCCCCCCTCCTCAGCATGAGCCTGAGGGCTTACCTCCAACATGACCACGCAGATCTGTTTCACACACTCAATGATGGACTGCGGGATGCCAGCAATAGTGATGGCCCGCTCGGTTGAATTGGGGAGCATATCCCCTGCCACCTGGACCTGAGCCCCGGTACTCTTTGGGGTAGAAGGAAAAAAGGGGAAAAGCGCGTCAGAGAAAAACAACTTAAGCTTCCCATGCTCCAGCGGCAAACAGAGGGTCCAAGGTTCAACACACACGTGCCCTTCCTCCTCTCATGCCCCTTTCTTCTCACTTCCCACTCTTCTCTTATTTCAGATAGATTAAACTGTGTTTAATCACAGTTAAAAATAAAATAGCCTCTAAAAGCCAAAAATAAGCCTGAATAACAGACTAAATTTAACTGCTGAAAGAAAAATGTCCTCTAGACACATTCCTTTAGACAATACCTTTGGTGGAGCTATGAAGCAAAAATCCCGTTTCACCACCTTTCATTCTCGGGAATATTTTTTAGGCCTTTTCTACGTGACAGTCAGTCACCATTTCAGGTGCTTAGAATTCATCTACGAACAAAACAAACTCCTGCTTGTGGCATACATAATAGGGGTCGTCCTCAAATTCCAACTAGCTTTAGTAAGCCATTCCATGGTCAAAGCAACAGGACAGCAGGGAGAGCGCTGACCTGCACATGCAGCCAACCAGGGTTTGAGCCCCTGCATCGCCTACGGTCCCCCAAACCCAACCAGGAGTGGTCCGAGCGCAGAGCCAAGTGGTCCTGTGCGCCACGGACGACCCAAAAATGAGAAAAAACAAAAACAAAAGACAACCTCATTCCAATTATGACATACAGTTCAGATCCCCAGATGCAATTAAGTTTCCATAATTCATTACCATTTCCAGAATTTAAAATAGAACACGATTACAACAAAATCCCAGCAAGCCTTCCACATTCTTGCCTTACTGTTTAGGAATTTGGCCAAGAAAATACAATTATGTATCAAGTTTGTTATTTACGCATTTATTGACTGGAGCCAACCTAGCAACGTTCAAGGCTACTCCCTACACCATGCTCAGGGTCCTGAACCCAGGGTTCATTCCTCTCAGCCTTCTCCCCAGCCCAACTGTAATAGCTTTAGACATAAAAACGACTATGCAGCCGCACGGAAATGTCACCAAAAATTGTGAAAACACTGAGCTCAGAGCAAGAAGTAAGTGTGAGCACTGTGGGTGTGGCCCAAACTCTTAACAAAATTAAAAACAAAGTGTCAAATGCAGGGCCAGAGAGGTAGTCCACCAGTTAAGGTGCTTGCCTTGCACAGGGCTGACCGGGTTCGATCCCCAGCATCCCATTGGCCCCGAGAGCCTGCCAGGAGTGATTCCTGAGTGCAGAGCCAGGAATAACCAGAGGTGTGACCAAAACAACAACAAAAGGTCAAATGCAGTCACTGGAAATTTCAGTGACCTTTTGACGAATTTTCCCCAGGTTTTCTTAACCGTTTCAGTCTGGAATCAAGTTGTAAAATACCCTCTAAAATTATGAATCAACTACGTACTTTCCATCCCAACACATTCTTATCTATGGGGACTAACTTAGAAAATCCTGAGGGGGGCTGGCGATTACCGGGTTGGATACCAGGCACGTCTCAGATCAGCCAAGAAAAGCTACTGAGCAGTTCCTGATAGGTACGGCCCCCTCCCCCGAAGACTCTTTTCTAACTTTTCCTCATCACAAAGACAGTGAACATTAAAGACAATTGTTAGCATTTCGAGGTCAGGGAGATGGCTCTAAGGGAGTGTTTGTGATCTGCTGCCAAAGACAGCTCTAAAGGAGTGTGTGTTCTGCTGCAATTCATTCCTCAGTTCTACATGGTCCCCAGAAGCCTCCGAAACTAGCATTTTTTAAAAACAAGCATGAGGTTCAATATCTGCACCACATACGGTCTCCTGAGCACGGAGCCAGGAGTTAGCCCAGAGCATGGCTGCGTGTGGCCCCAAACCCAAAAATACACAACATGTATGGGGTAATTCAGCTCTCCCACCCTAAGTGTGCATGAAAAGTTACAAACCTCTCGTATTTCCTTGATCTTGCAACCACCTTTCCCAATGAGAGAGCCACACTGACTAGCAGGGACCACCAGCCTCAGGGTGACTGGGGGTCGACTGGCAGCTGTGCTATTGGTCATAGAGCTGCTAATGTCCTACAAAAAGAAGGAATTATTCAGAACACCAGAATATACAAGCTCAAGCAGAACCTTCGATACCAGAGCTCCCATAAATCGCTTCCTCTACAAGGCAATTACGACCAGATCTGTCCCCAAGGGTTCAAATATGCCATCCTCCCCACCCTGGAACAGCCTTCACGTGCACTCCCTCCCCCACAACACTCTCCCTCTCCTATATATATTAGCCCATGGAGGAAAGTCCTGTACTTAGTTGACATAAGAAAACACTAAACAAAAATCAAGTTACATATTAAGAGGCAAAGTAAGACAATCCAGGTTTCAAATCAATTTTGCCTTTGTAGAAAAAACCAGCAAACGCAATGAGGGACCAGAAAGAGCTAAATATTCAATTTCCAGCAACCCCCCCCTCCCAAAAAGGCTTAGAGGCCAACGCTCTTTTGCTTTGCCTGTTGCCAACCAGGTTCAATCCCTGGCACTGCCTGGGTTGATGCCTAAACACGAGTAAGCCTGGCATCACTGGACGTGATGCAAAAACAAAACAGAAAACAGCCTGGTATCACTACTGAAGGGGCTGGTGAGACAGTGATGAGTAGGATGCTTTGCCTTGTACACAGCAGATCTGGGTTCCATCTCAACGACTGACCCATATGGTCCCCCAAGCACCACCAGGAGTAATTCCTGCGAATAGAGCCAGGAGCATTGGGGTGTGGCCCAAACCCCACCCTCCTGCCCCCCCACCCAACCAAAATAAGTTAAAAGTATATTGGCTCCAGGGATAAGCGTGACAGTACGGAGAAGTAGGCTCTGCCTTGCAGGCAGCCAACCTCTGAGCACAGAGCCATGAACAAGACCTGTGGTCCAAAAATCAAGTACACTGTGGGTAAGCCCCGACTTTCCCACAACGTTAAACTCAAAAGTCATGTAAGTTTGGTTTGCTCCTTTTGGGGGACGGAGAACTGCTGAGCCACACCTGGTGATGCACAGCACAGGGGATCAGAACTCTAGAGAAGCTGGCGATACCAACAGCACCGACTGCAGGTACCTTAATCCTGTAGCACCTCATGGACCCAACATGGTTCTTGCAAAAAAATTCAACCTACTAAAGACAAAGTCCTTTTCATATCACTTCATAGTCTAATCTATGCAAACCATAGCTAGACCTGGGAATTGTTTTCTTCTTGTATTTTTTGGGGACCAACCCAGATTCAATTCCCTGTACTCCAAAGGGTCCCCAGCACACTGACAGAAGCGATCCCTGAGCAGAGCCAAGAGTAAGCCCTGGGCACCACTTTCAGGTATGGCCCCAAAAACAAGCAAAGGAAAAAAAAAGTTTCCAAAGTCATGAATGTTTGTCGATTTGACAATGTATAAGTATTTTCTAAATTTGTTTTTGAGGGAGGGATCAGCCAAAAAACAAAACAATAATACGAAGGGGAACTGTGGGAGACCGAGGGCGATGGCAGCCCTTAAGCCTGGCAGGCACTAAGGGGACCATGCGGTGTCAGAGACTGAACCTACTGAGAATGCAAAGAATCTGCTCCTGTCCTTCGAACCGACTTCCCAGCTTATATTTTTTAAAATTATCTGCATAAAGCATTAGAATACATTCCTGATTTAAAGAGCAGATTCATTCTCACCCAGAACCAAAGCACATGTAATCTAACAAAGCTCTTTTTCTATTTTTTTGCTTTTTGGGTCATTCCCTGCGACGCACAGGGGATACTCCTGGCTCTGCACTCAGGAATTACTCCTGTCAGTGCCAGGGGACCATATGGGATGCTGGGGATCGGCCGTGTGCAAGGCATACGCCCTACCCGCTGTGCTATCGCTCCAGCCCGAACAAAGCACTTTTAAAAGAATTACAGGGCCAGAGACAAAGTCCAGCAAAGAGGATGTTTGCCGTGTACACACCAGCATCCCATATGGGTGCCCAGAGCACCGCCAGGAGCAGTCTCTGAGTGCGGAGTCAGGAGTGACCCCTTAGCATCGTTGGGTGTCATCCAAAAACCCAAAAAATTAAGATTTTTTTTTAAAAAGGGAGACAGACAGGGTCAGGGCCATAGTACAGCAGGTAGGTCCCTCTCCTTGCACACAGTTGACCCGGATTCAATCCCAGGCAATCCGTATGGTTCTCCAAGTCTTCAAAACAACTGGTTGGTGTTGAGAGAGAGTACCAACTTGACACATACTGGTCCTCCAAGAACAAGCGGGAGTAAACCCTTCTCCCCCAAAAAACTATTCGTTAATATAAAAAAACAAAAGTTTGGGTAGGGTGCTTGCCTTTGGGATTAATCCCTGGCACTACGTATGCTCCCAAGCACCGCAAGGAGCTACCCCTGAGCATAGAACTAGGAATAAATCAGCCCTGAGCACTGCTGGGGATCCCCCCCACACCCCGGCCCTCCTCCCCCCCCCAAGAAAGTTATCTAGAGTCATTAAAAAAAAAGGAAGTGGTAATAACAAACCTCTTCCAGTTTGTCAATGATCATAGCAAAGGCTTTAAAGATGGCATTAGTGGGTCCAGCCAAAGTGATAATTCTCTCAGGACAATTCCCTTCTGAGATGTTGATACGTGCACCACTCTAGACATGAAGAGGAACAAGAAGTTAGACTTAAAGAGAGAGAAAAAAGAGCTCAGCAAATGCGGTATGTAGATCATATCCCCACCCTATGTATTTTCCCTCATAAATTGTGCCAACAACTGTTAAAGGCATTGTCAGCGTAATTTCAAATACTGCTCCGTGTCTGACCTAAAAACACTTTAGAAACTATCTGACTTACAACATACTATCATTACAAATAGCCAAGGCAGAGAAATGGCTTCCACTGAGACCTTTCCCCTTCTAGACTTATTAAACAGAATTTCGTTTTAACCATTTTCTACTTCTCAAGGTAGTAACAATTCCTCAAACTACCCCCTCTAATCTGTAACTCACCTCTTCACGCATCTTCTTCACAGATTCTCCTTTCTGTAAGAGGAAAAAGTCAAGAATGAGCTCTGATTGCTATTTCACCCCAGACTTTACTAAACAGTAATTTGAGTTGAAGTTTAACTGTCATACCTTTCCGATGATACTGCCAACTTCCTGTAATGGAGAAAACCAGTGTCAAATAAAAGGAAATTCAAATGTTCATTATCATGCGAGGAAAAAAAAAATGCATAAAACCATGGAAAAAAAAACCCCTAAGTTTTATCAAGGGGAACTCACTTTCCTCTGGTCACAAAAAGCTACCAGAGAATTTAACAAAGAAAGAAAAACATTCACCTTTGTGCTAGTGTTTTTTGGTTTTTTTGGGTCACACCCATCGATGCACAGGAGTTACTCCTGGCTCTGCACTCAGGAATTACTCCTGGCGATACACTTAAAGTGCCATATGTAGACGGACAAAGTAGACGTTACTGGGGCCTGCTCGAGGCAATCGACGAATAACAGGATGGTCGTGATCGTGATACACTTCAGGAAACATGGGATGCTGGGAATCGAACCCGGGTGGACCATGTGCAAGGCAACACCATACCCACTGTTCTATTGCTCCAGCCCCTATTTTCAATCATTTTAAACACCGAATACATAATCTCTGAAAAGTATCCCAAAAGTGTTTGGATGGAGGAGTCCACCTATCACAAGCTCTAGTCGTCTCCACAAGAAATACCACATCCAAGGTCGAAGCCAGCCTTTGGTTCCTGCTCTGGTCAAGCCTTTCCTGGTCTGCTGAACGTCCGGGCAATGCGAACCCATTTTCCCCGAACATTCCCAACTACTGGGCTGGAGGAATGTTAAGACCAGATGCCCCACAGAGCTACTCTGTTGAGCGCCAACATGCATGCCTCCTTCCTCCTGCCCCTCCCCCCAGCAGCTACCGTGACCCAGTTACCCAAGCTGGTACATACCTTTCCATGCATAAGTAGTCGGATGGTGAGTGTGACATTTAATCCTCCTTCAATCACACCGGTGTCCATGTCGAGCAGTGTTCTGGGGAGCTGGACTTTGAGTGGTCAAGTCTTTGGTCACTGGCGGGGGTGGGGGTGGGTGAAAGCCAAAATCTGAAATACAAAGTGACCAAAATCAGAGCAAGTTTTCCTAAATGGCAACCTATCCGCTGGCATACTTGAACATTTCCAGGACAAGTGCATTAACCACCACTTCCAGATCAGGCCGCCGTGCGGTCTGGAAGGCAATTCTGCAGCCCGTTCTCATAAACGGCAGGGTTTCCGCTGACTCTCAGAAAGAGAACGAGTATTCCAACTGGCACTGGTTCTAAGGGATCTGCTGAACGTGCACTGGCTGTCCTTCGGCAGAGAAGGCTAAGCACCTGGACAAGGCCAAGCACCTGGACATCGTGAGGCAGACCTCTACCCAATTACAGTGAGGACAACTGGGCAGTTCATGTTGAATGCTGGCAAGAGCATGTTCTTGTTGGCGACAGTGTCTGGACACAGAAATCGGACGTATAGCGCACTAAAATTTCAAACAGCAGGGGCGCCAATGTTTTGAATACTTCCATTAGCTCACTGCAAAGAGGATCTGAAATGACGTCCACACAGGCTGGTGCTCCACATTCCCGTTTGGAAGTGACCGAGTCTGTCTCCTTCCCTCCTATTCCTCTCCCAAACCTACTGCACCCATAGACCAGGGTTCAACATCTTTCCTTCCGCTGGCTGCGTTATGAGCATTCATCTTCCCGTCCCCCGTGCCCATTTCCATGAAAGCCTGAGAACGCAATCCACACTGGCATGGCTCGAACGGACCGGGCGGCTGTTTCCAACAACGGCAACGGGCCTTTCTCACCCACTGGAGCCAGACCCGTAGCATTTCTGCTCTGGACCCGGGTCTGAGAAAGTGTCTGGCCTCGCTGACACCTTCGGCCCGGACCCTCCTCCCTTCCTCGTGGCCCAACCGACCGGCGGCAGCGAGCTTACAGGGCCGCTCCCCCAGCGTGAGCTCCTCCAGGAAAAATCCCAGCACCCAACCCCGACACCAGGCACCCGCATCGACGACCCCCCTCCTCCACCTAACCCTCCCCTTCTGCAGCAAGTGCTCATCTCGGCCTCCGAGCACAACCGACGCCCCGGGCCCCCAAAAAGTGCCGCGGCGGCGCCCGGCCCGTGCTCGGACCCGCCAAGGGGGCCGCGGCCACCTCCCGCGCTCGTCCCCGGAGCCCTCCAGCCCGGTTCCGCGATATAATTAACCGCTGGCAACATCCCAGGATCCACCACTGGGCGCGGGGCGGGGGCGGGGGCGCCGGAGGGAGCCGAGGGTCTGCAAGGAGCACTTTCTTCTTGCAGCGAGACGGCGAAGAAAATAAAGAAGGAAGAAGAAGAAAAACCCGGCAGCCCCCTTCCCGCCCAAGCGGGAGCGAGAAGCGCCTTCCGGGCCCGCGGCCGGAGCAGACGCGCCCCCGACTCCCGGCGGCCGCCCGGGGGCCCGGCCCCTCGCCCCCCGCCCGGCCGCGGGCCGACCCCTGCGGCCCCGAGCAGCTCGCCTGGCCGGGCCCCGGCGGGCAGCTCGTCCCCGCAGCCCCGAGACGGCGCGGCCCGGCCCCCCCGAGCGAAAAGGGGCGAGCGAGGACCCCCGCGCCCCGGCCCCGGCCCCGCGCCCCGGCCGAGCGGGCGGAGGGAAATAAACGGTCCGGCCGGGGGGGGGCGCTGCGGGCCGGGGGAGGGGCCGGCGAGCGGCGCCTCCGCGTGTGGCTGCGCCAGCGCCCGACCCCGCGGGGAGCCGCGCTCGCCGCCCGCCGCCGCCGCCCGCCGCCCATCGCCGCCCCCCGCCGCCCGGCCCGCCGACCCACCGCTCCCCCCGCCGCGCGCGCCCGCCCGCCCGCCCGCCGCGACTCGTGCGCAGCCGCCGCCGGCCGCGGGGGGGAGGGGGCCGGGCGCGCGCGGGGCCTACTAGGCCGCGCCGGAGCCGGGGCCTCGCGTGAGCCGGCGGCCGGGCGGGGCGCGGGGCCGGCGGCGCGCGGGCCACGCGAGGCCGGGGCGCGGCGGCGGGCGGCGCGGCGCGCGGCGGGGCCGAGGGGCGGCGGGCGGCTTACCTGCGGGCGCGCGGCGACCGAGGGGAGACGGGGAGCGGGCGGGAAGGGGAAGGGCGGGAGGCCGGGGGCGGAACAATAGGGGCGGGCGGGAAGGCGAGGGGGCCCCGCGGCGGGCGGGCGGGCGGGCGGAGGAGGAGGGGGGGGCGGAGAGGAAGGGGAGAGAGACCCGGGGCGGGCGGAGGGCGGCGGAGGGCGGGCGGGCGGGCGGAGGGCGGGCGGGCGGGAGAGGGCGCAGGCTGCGGCTGCTCCGGCTGCTGCCTCTGCTGGTCTGGGAGGGGGACGGGGCGGAGCGGCCCGCTTTCAACCCCGCGCACCCTCCGACCCCGGAAGCGCTAACCGCCCCGGGGGCCGGCGAGGCGGCCGCGTCGCCCAGCCCTTCCCGCGCGGCGCGGGCGGCCTCCGGGCGCCTAGAGCGGCTCCGTGGGCCGCGCCGGCACCAGCGAGACGGCGGCCGGCGGCGGGGGGAGCGTGGGAGAGAGCGGCCGCGTCGGGGCGGGCCGGAGACGAGCGGCCCCCAGCGGGCGAGGCGGGGAAGGCAGGCCCGGCGCCGCGCAGGCGAAAGTAGGTCTCGGCCGGGGAGGAAGACGGGCCGGGAAAGGCCGGGAAGGGAAGAAGGAGTCGGCGGCCCGTTGATTTTCCACGCTGGGGGAGACCTGGACGCCGACTCCGACTCCGAGAATGGGCGACGAGGGGGAAGGAACGGTGCCTTCCTCCTTGGCCGAGATCAGCCCCCCGCGAGCTCTAGCTGACGAATGCAGAAGCAAGAAGTTAGGGAAGAACCGTCGTCGTCCAGGGGGGCCGGAGCACGGGGATGAGGGCGCTCGCCTTGCACGTGGCCAGCCCGCCTCGATCCCTGGCATCCCAGGCTGGGGTCCCCCGCCCCCCCGGCACCCCCAGGAGTGACCCCTGAGCACTGCCAGGTCTCTCCGTCTCTGGCTGTCTCTGTCTCCGTGTCTCCCTGTGCTGTAACCCGAGGAAATCCTGGCAAGTGTCACATATCATTAAAATTTGAAGGCGAGGAGCGTTAGTTGGACGTTCATGTGGTCCACACTTCAAGGTACAGATTGCAAATCATACACAAAACACACACGAAACGTCGTATCACGAAGAGGAGGAGCACTCTGACATTCGTGTGCTGCTGGGTGGGCTAGAATCAGCACATAACGTGTTAAAACAGAGTCTTGCTAGAAGGATCGCTTTGGGGTTGGAGTGACAGGACAGCAGGCAGGGTGCTGCTGGCCTTGTGGCCACCCTGGTTTTGATCCCTAGCACCCCACACGTCCCCCCTGATCCCCACCAGAGTGATCCCCTGGCATCGGAGCACACCACAAGCACTAACATTCAAAGAAATAAATAAGTGACGTACTTGATCAAGCTCTTAGAACTAATTTGAAAGTTACGAATAACTTTTAGGATCAAGGGTGAAGTTAAGAACCTCACAGGTGGGGTGCTGGAGAGAGAGTTTAGCTAGTAGGTGCTCGCAGTTCCTGAGTGCAAAGCCAGGCGCTATCACGCTGAGCTCTGTGGGGCGTGGCCCAAAACCAAACAAAAATCTTTACATTTGGGCCAGAGCAAACAGCTGGTAGGGCACTTGTCTTGCATGTGAGGGACCTGGGTTCAAATTCCAGCACTGCCCATGCTCCCCTAACCTCACGTCAAAAGTAAGCCTGAATGTTGCCAAGTGTGACACAAAATCCAATTAATATATAAAATTTGCACTTTTAAAAAAAGATTGGGGACCTTACTTGGCAATAGTCAGGGATTACTGTTGGCCCTATGCTCAGGAATCACTCATGGCAGGGCGCAGGGGACCTTAAGGGATGCCGGGTATCAAACCCAAGTTGGCCATATACAAGACAACCATCTTACCCATTTTTTACTATTATTCCGACCCTAAAATTTGCTTTATTAAAAAAAAATACACTAGGGGCCAGAGCAACAGTACAAAGGGTAGGGCACTTGCCTTGCACACAGCTGACCAGTGTCTGATCCCCAGCATCCCATAGAGTCCTCCAAGTACCACCAGGAACAATTCCTGAGTGCAGAGTCAGAAGTAACCTCTGAGCATCGCCAAGTGTGACCCCAAAACAAAACAAAATTACATTAAAAGAAAACTAGCCAGATCTCAAAAAGGCAATGCAAAAGAGAAGTTGAGGGAGAGAAAAGTAAATTCAAAAGTGGAAGGGGCAGGAACATTGAGTCACACCCAGCATTGCTCCCAAAGGTGCTCAGTGGCCACTGCCAAGGGTGCCTGAGATCCATGAGATGCAGGGGCTGGAACGAGACTAGGCCAGGCAAACACTTGAACACCTGCGCTCTCACTTGCCTTAAGCAAGGCTGACCCAGGTTCAATCCTCAGCCCTACATATGGTGCCCAAGTCCTTCTGGAGTGTTTCCTGCACAGACCCAGGAGCAAACTGAGCACTGACAGGTGTGGCCAAGAAAACAAGCAAACCAAAAAATCCCTTTCTCTCTTGGGCCCTTGGATACAGATTTCTTTGTTTGTTTGTTTGCTTGCTTGCTTTTTGGGTCACACTCAGCGATGCTCAGGGGTTACTCCTGGCTCTGCACTCAGGAATTACTCCTGGAGGTGCTTGGGGGAACCATATGGGATACCGGGGATTGAACCCGGGTCAGCCACATGCAAGGCAAATGCTCTACCCACTGAACTATCACTCCGGCCCCCCAGATTGGTTTGTTTTTAGATTTTGCTGGTGGCGGTTGTTTTGAGTTGGGGACCACATCCACCTGTGCTTAGGGCTTACCCCGACTGCTCAGGGGTCACCCCTGGAATGCTTGCTCTGCAGTCCCCAGCCTCAGCACCCCACGGTCACCTCAGCACCGGCAGGGGTGCCCCCCCAGAGCACCAAACACAGAGTAGCCTTTGAACACCACTGCATGTGACCCCAAGATCAACAACAGCAATAAAAAGACCTCTGGCAGGAAATAAAACAAAATTAAAAGTTGAGGGGCTGGAGCGATAGCACATCGGAGAGGGTGTTTGCCTTGCAT